GCTGTACCAAACCAGCTGGCCGGTGTGACTTCGGCCCCCAGTTGTGCCAGCTTTGCTTCTTATGTTGTGGGAGGGCGGGTGGGACAGGGCATGCCATGCTTGACTCGCTCGAGCTGGCTAGCTTGACTCTTACTCGTACTCTTACTTCTACTCTTGCTCGTACTCTTACTCTGACTCTTACTCGTACGCTTACTCTGACTTTTAATTAGTCTGAGTCTCACTCTTACTCTCACTCTTACTCTTACTCGTACTCGTACTCTTACCAGAGCGCTTTTCAGCTCGAGTCTTACATTTCGCACATGGCGGGCTTGTTCCCGCGAGGGGAAGCAACAATCTCTCATTACGACGATGAGGAAACGCTTGCCGCCCGAGATAGGGAGGCCTTCATTCGGGTTGCTGTTGTCCATGCTCGGACTTGTTCGTGGGCTTGGCGGATGGCGCCGCGATGCCGGGACGCGTTCGGCCTCGTCCTCTCAGCCCTATTCCCGGGAGGATTCGTTATTCCCGATTGGGGTCGAGTTCTGTGGCGGTGCGGAGTGGCGAATGCTATCCTGGACCCAGATTACGTCGACGACGCAGACTACGGTGACGCCGATGCCTGAGGCGGCGGGGACGACGCGGCGGCGGCGGCGGCGACGGACGATTCTGTTCTCCTCCTACGCAGCCATGTGGGCCCAAGAGCCACTTCTCGCGGGTGGCGCCAACGAGGCCCGCGCGGAGCTCGCCAGAGTCCACGGCAAACGAACCAACACCCGGGGCCCCAGGGCCCGCTCGGCAAGGCGCCGCCCCTGGGCTGGGCCGCCCGACGGCTCGGCGACCTGGGCCGAGTGCCCCGAAGAAGACGCGATGGCGGAGCCACGGCCTGCAGGGCTTGGCATCCCGCCAGGGCTGGAGCCAGCCGCGGCGGCGGCGGGAGGTGGTGCTCCAGCCGCGGTGGCGGCGGGAGGTGGTGCTCAAGCCGCGGTGGCGGCGACGCGAGCAGACCTGGGCGCGCTTCCCGTGACGCAGCCGTGCAAGTTGAACAACACCGCTCTGAAGTGGCTCAGGGGCACCTCAGAGAACCCTGCAGGCTTTCCAACAACGCGCCTGGTCGGCATCACCGACGCGGACCGTATGCCCATAGGAGTGCGCGACCGCACCTCGGGAATGGCATGCAGTTTCAGGGGGGGCGGAGAGACGCAGCCATGGTCATGGCGGCAAATGTTGGCAGCCTTCAAACCAGAGGTGAAGGACAGGGCTCTGGGATCTGATCCCTCGGTGGGCGCCACGCGCATCACGTGCGAGGCCATCGACGGGCACGACCACAAGCGCTGGCGCACCGCGCGTGCCATGGGAAGGCCTTTCGCCGAAGGAGCTCCCGTTCCGATCTGGGGCTTCCACGTGCACCGCGCGGACAACGTCGTCACGAGGTTCCGCACCAGCCTCACGAACAACAAAGTGGAGGTAGCCACTCTCGACAGTGGCCTCGTCCTGCCTGGCCCGCCGAGGGCGGGGAAGGGTAATTCGGGCGGCAAAGGCACGTGCAGGAACAAGACGACAGGGAACTACCAGCAGCCCTACCGCGGTACTGGCCCAGGGATCCGCGGTGGCGGAGTTGGGCCAGCCCCTCAGGGATCCGCGGTGGCGGAGTTGGGCCAGCCAGAGGCACCCCCGCAGGCCGACGCTTCGGGGCCTCCGTCGCGCGCCGCTGCAGGAGAGGGGGCTCAGCAGGCAGCCTCGTGGGAGGCGGGGGCGGCCTGGTGGGGGGCGAAGGCGGCCTCGTGGGGGGCGAAGCAGGGGCCCGCCTCGCGCGCGGGCGGCGCGTGGAGCGGCGCAGATTGGTGGAGCAGAGAGTGGAAGACAGCGGCGGAGCATGAGCCCGCCTGGTCCCGCGGCGGAGACTGGCAGGACAGCGGCCATGGTAATGGCGGCGGTGGCGCGACCGCCAGCGGCAGCGCCGGCGGTTCCGCCGCGGCGGCTTCCACGGAGGGGCAGGCGAAGTGGAAGGAGCGGGGGTGGTGGCAGTGAGCGCATGCTCCGCGGTGGCGGTGTCGTAGAAGCACTCGCGGTGGCGAGGGCCGTGTCCGAGCATCCGTGTGAGGGCGTCAAGCGCGGCGCGAAAAAGTGCTCTGTTTCCTCTTCCTGCGCCTCACTTTCTCCCCCTCCTCTTCACGTTCCTCTCTCTCGACGTGTGATTTTCATGCAGTCGCCCTCTGCCTCGACGCCCGCCTCTCTCCTCCGCGCCCCCCTTGTCCGCCGGGCGGCGCCGAATTATCCCGGAAGGGCTCCGGGGGCCTCCCCCTGACAACCATCGCCTGGCGATGGTTGTCATCGTCTTGGGGTGACATGCATCGCCTGGCGATGGTTGTCATGCCCCGGGGGGTGACAACCATCGCCTGGCGATGGTTGTCGCCGTCTTGGGGTGACAAGCATCGCCTGGCGATGGTTGTCACGCGGTGTCCTTCCGTCGGCTCCCCGCAGTGGCTCGAGCTGGATCCACGGTGGCGGAGACTCGCGACATTTTCGCGGTTGCGGATTTCCCCTGGCGCGTCTGCGCGGTTGCGGAGCAGCCTCGAAAATGGCAGGGTTCGCTCTCCCAAAGTTCAAGCCCCTCGAGTTTCAGTTCGGTCAGGTTCACGTGCGCGGGGGCCACAGCGGCAAGTTTTCGCCTCTCACCTCGAGGGTCGCTCGCTCAAAGAACTCCTCGGTGGAGGAAAGGTTTGTGAAGTTGGCTTTCACAGACCAGTGGCTGATCGGCCTCACAACGGGCTCGACGAAGTACTCCCAGAGTTCGTTTGGGCGCACCTCGTTACTCGCCGACCTGCGCACCCGCGTGGAGAAGCTCTGCGACGGCGAAGAAGTGCCGGAGTCGCCAGACGGCCAAGAGGTGGAGGTCCAGGGGGAAGACTACGACCCGATGGGCGAGATCGACCAGAACGGCGGGGCCGACGCAGAGCGCACCAAGGTGTCAGGAGTACAGGGTGTCAAGCGAACCCGCTACTACAAGAACCACTTGAAGAACACCGTGGTCACGGTGAGCATGCCCGAGCGGTGCCCCGAGCAGGATCCTCTCTGCCAGGAGGTCCGCAAGATCATCTTCTTCATCGAGGATCGCAAGCAGATTTGGCTCCATTCAATGATCTGAACTGGGCGGTGAGGTACTTATACGTGCAGAACATGTTGAAGGGCGTTCCGATGGTTTCTCCAGACTCGGCGGGGCCAGGCGGCGCTTCAGGCGGCGCTTAGAGACGCCATGGTAATGGTGTTCCCTGCACTCGCAACGGGGCTCGGGAGATCAGGGGCGTCTCCGAACAGGCCACCGAGGACGGCAAGTCATTCCTAGAAAACGTCAGTGCGTGACTCAGGGTTTCAAGAGTCCTGCACTTGGCTCCATGGTCATGGAGGGCTGGGGTTGCTACAAGCAGGACGTTTTAGCACGCAGGGACACATGGCTTGCCCTTTGTAGTTCCCGCGGTGACAAACGCAGCTCGAATGCCTCATCCGATGCGCGCGCGATGAAAATACGCCTCCCCTGCATCATCTTCCTCCGCATCCTTTCGGTCGCCGTCCCCATTTCGCCCCCTCGTAATGAGTCATTCCCCCTCTCATTCTCGAATTTCTTATATTACCTTTACTGTCACTCTCGCTCTCGCTCCCACTCTCGCCCTCACACTCACTCTTACTTGTACTAGCACTCGTACTCTTACTCGTGCTTACTCTTACTCCTGCTCGTACTCTTTCTCTTCCTCTTACGCTTGCTCTTACTCTTACTCTTACTCACCATGCGCTTATTATTTCTCCGAGCCCTGCTCTTACTCATGATCCTACTCTTACTCGTCCAACTCTTACTCTTGCTCTTACTCTTGCTCCTCTTGCTCGACTCCAACGCCGCTTATGCTTGAAAGCCGCGCGCTGTGTAGGCTCAGAGTTTCCACCGGGGCGCGATTTCGCTGCGGTGGCGGCGCAGCTCGCGGTGGCGAGGCGCGCCTCGGCGAGCGCGCATGTCCGAGCAGGCTGACCAGCCCACCGTTGAAACGGTAGCAAAGTATATTGGGGAATTCCGCGTGATTCACGAATTTGGGAAAATCTTCTAGGCCAAATGGGAGCAGAATCCTTCGATCCCGACGAAGCGCCCAGCTGGGGTGCACGGCTGGGCTTCCTGTTACTTTTGTGACTCACAGGAGTGGACGCCTGGTCTCCGTTTGCACGTGTGCGCCGCTACTCCGTGCTCGGCCAAATACCCCGCATCTAAATGTAGGTTTCGCCTGTCCCGTCCGAACCACGCGCGGCTACTCGATGCACCACCTGTGGCGGGGTCGGCACCTGGAGCGGGCACGGCGCCACCGGCCTCCGCGGTAGCGGAGTTGGCGCCCGAAGCAGCAGCGCCTCCGCCCGAAGCAGCAGCGGCTCCGCCACCCCCAGTGGCGGCGCCTCTGGCACCCCCATTGGCGCCCGAAGCGCCAACGCCAGCAGCGCAGAAGCCAGCGCCAGCGGCGGCGCCTCCGCCAGAACCGGAGCCACCTCTGCCACCCCCAGTGGCGGCACCTCCGCCACAACCGCCAGCGGCGGCACCTCCGCCCGAACCGGAGCCACCTCTGCCACCCCCAGTGGCGGCACCTCTGCCACCCCCAGTGGCGGAGGAGGCGCCACCTCCGCCACAACCGCAGCCATCTCTGCCACCCCCAGTGGCGGACTTAGCAGCGGTGGCTCCCGCGCCGCCGCCTGCTGTTACGTCCTCATCCACAGAAGTCGCCGCGCCGCCTGAAAGGGCCGCGTTGTTGTTCATTCCCTGTGCCGCGCCTAGGCCACCAGAAGCGGCGGCAGCGGTCGCGCCAGCGAAGGTCCCTCCACTGCAGCTACCCGCGGTTGCGGGGTGCGACATCGATGTCATAAACGTGGAAGACGTGGACCCCGTCGAGAATATTGTCGCAGCCAGCGGGCTGTACAACCAGAGGGTGGCAGCAGAGTTGAGTAGGTTCGCAATTGCTATGGAAGAGCCCCGCGGATACATCGGAATCGCCATGTTCGTGATTGTTGCGTTGCGGCATCGCGTGCGCGTCTTTCTTTGGTACGGGGACACATGTGAAGACGCATTGCTCAAGTATGCTCCGTGGGCCAATGATGCTGTGAGTGTGGTTGCAAAATGCCATGCTGTCTCCTGTGCGTTTCGAGATGATGGCTCAGTCCGTGGGTTGGATGACGAGGCCCTGCGAACCAACCATTGGGTGGCGGGTTTCCCGCTCGATGGTGGCGGTGCCCCTGCTGGCGCCAGCCTGGCCGACAGCATGTGCGAGGAGACCCGCTTTTTCTATGCGCAGTACCTGTCGCACTCCGTGCAGCTCGTGGCAACAGTTACGGATGGAGATTGTGGCATCGACGTGATGTGTTCCATGCTCGGCTGGAACCGCAGCAGCGTGAACCGGGCCGCTCTGCGCTGCGATTTGTGCGCCTACATTCTCGAGCACGCGGGCAATAGAGCTTTCGTGGCGATGTTGCGTCACACGGGAGAGATCGATAACCATTTGGGGCTCTACGAGTTAGATGCCGCGGGCGCGGCGTTGGTCGCTGCGCGCCCCACGGAGCATCGCCATGGTGATGGCGGCGCAGAGGGCGCCCTGTTAGAGGTGCCGCAGCAAGCAGAGAGGCACTACAGCGAAGAGGAGGTGCTGGCCCTGAGGTGGAAATGTGAGCTGCGCACGGCGGGGCGGGATATCATTGTCGGCATGCTCAAGCGCCTGCCCGATGAGTGCGCGAATGCCATGGTTCGCGAGTACACGACCCGAGGTGACGGGGAGGCGAAGACGCAAAAAAAACTTGCGCCGACGTTCTTGTTGGGCCGCGACGCACCCCTCGCTAAGAAGCAAAAGGCCGCGGAATACTTCCTAGCATGGATGGAGGGGCACAAAGGGCCCTTGGACGGAAAGACCACTTCTCAATTGCAGCGCGGCAGTTTCCCGAAAGGTCTGTTCAAGGCGTTTGCCACAGAGCGCCCCGCCGTCGCCCAGGCCACTGGTCTAGCCGTGCCCCAGGGGAAAAAATCCCCCTTGTTCAGAAAGAAAACAAAGGCTTGGATCGAGTACGCGCGAGTATTGAGAATATACCAGCGCCCAGTGCAGCAGTTCCTGACATCCGCGGTGGCGGAGCGTGCTGTCGTCTCCACGGTTGCCTGCAAGCTGTCGGGGGCCCGGGAGGGCTGGCAGTGCAGAAAAGGGACCGACCGTGCAGTCCGGGACCACAGGCGACGTAGAAGTGCGGGCGCTGGCAGACACAAGGCGCGCGCAGCGTTGCGGGAACAATTGGCCGAGTGGTGCAGCATCATGCGGCACAGCGTTGACGTGAAGGTCATGTGCCGTTTCCCAAAAAAAGTCCTGTTGACGAAAGCGCTGCAACTACATGCAGATCAACGGTAGGTGGTTGGCTGGCTTCATGAGGGAGCGATGGTTCACGACGAATTGCACGCAGCATTGAAAGATGAGGAGGCTGAGGCTCGCCGCGCCAGGCTTGCGTTTAAAGAGCAGATGTCGGCGGAGAAAGAAAAGGCGCGCGTCAAGCGTGAGTTGCACGAGGCGACGGAGAAGCTCAAGAATATCCGCAAGGAACAGAGAGAGGCCGAAGCCGTGGTGACGGCGATGGAGCAGATGAGAGTTTACTCCTTGGAGCAGTTGGGGCAAGGGAACAAAAAAGGCGGTAATAAGGAGCACCAGAAAGCGCGCTTCCAGGTATCACAAGCTCTTCGGAAAGCTGCCGAACTATCACCTGAGCAAACGAGCCAATGGGAGTTCTTCAAGACGGAATGGGACAGTCGGATGGCTGCGACCCACGGCGAGGACTGGGCGCAGCTCTTTGCTGAGATGGTTCAGAAGGTGGTGAACGACCTGCAGGAGGGTCGAAAAGATGCGCTGTCTCAGTTTATGCACAATGAGACCAGACGCGTGTTAGGCGATGCGCCTGCCTGGGTTTTGCCGGGCATTACTCGCGCTTAGACATTCTTCCGCGGCGGCGGTGATACCGCTGTGACCGGCGAGGCGTCTCCGCGGTGGCGGAGCGCACTGGTGCTGCCGAGTGCTGCTTGCCTCTGGAGCGTCACCGAAAAAATTCTGCTCCGCGAGGGCCCCCCCTGGGACTCTTCGCTGCCCTCGCCCCCCCCTGCTTTCCCGGACCATTGGAGACCCCGATCCCCGCAACAATAGAAGACCCCAGTTAGGTTACATCCCTTCCTCCCCCCCCTCCTTTCCTCTCCGCCACCCTCCTGCACGCCCTCGCCCTCACCTCCTTCATGTATTCCAGCAGCGACATTGAGAGACCCTAACTATCGTCATTGCAGTTGCTGTCGCGGCTCAAGCATGCCCGCCTTAGAGCTCACTCGCCTCCATGGTCATGGAGCATCCTCAGGGGGCTCCGCTGGCCGCGAGGCAGATGACGATGAACGCGACGCCATAAGCTTGCCCACTCATGCGCCGACGGACGCATTTGGCATGCCAGGGGATCTGGATGACATCCCCGTGGACGCAAACCTCTTCCTGAAGCCGCTGTGGGATGACGGGACGGAGTGCTCTGCTGGTGTTTGGGCGGTTGAAACCCGCGGTGGTGGGGGGGGGGGTGCAAAGGGAAAGGATGGCAAAGGCAGTAGCCATGGAGGCACCTTTGGCGTCTTGACCGCCAACTGGGGCGGGAAGTGGGGCGAGCCAGCACTGCATGCGCACATGCAGCAAGATCTGAAAGGCTCTTCCTGCCAGTTCCTGGTCATCCAGGAAGCTTCTAGCGACCTGCTGGACTACGTGGGACAAGACCCAGGGAAGGGCGACAGCGAGTTCCTAGGGGGGAAGGGCGCGCAGCGGCCTGCAGCCAAGTTCATAGGTGTGCGAGGCCCAGAGGAGGGCGACAGCACTATGATATGCGGCAGGGAGTCCCTGGTGTCGGGGATGCGGCTGCTAGTGTTCCATAGGACGAAGGATGGAACATACACGCACACGAAGAAGGACAAACAGAGGACCAAGGTGACGAAGACCGCGGTTAGCAGGATCATGATTGCATGTGCAAAGATGCGATTTTGGAGAACCCGCGGTAGCGGGGAAGCCGATATTGATGACCGGGAGCTCGATGAGCTGCGGCTCGCCATTGTGCACTTGCACTTCAAGACAGCAAGGAAAGACCTGCAAGCTGGTGGAGAGTCCTACAAACTTTTCTGGGATTTGCTAGCGAGGTACTTGGCCGAGCTCCGCCCCGCATTCTCTGCGGGGACTTCAAAATGGCGCTCTTCCTTGTCGTGCCGGAACTGCGGGCGCGCGGCTTCAGATCAATCTGGCAGCGTGGTATCCTTGGCAGCAGCAGCACGAGAGGTTTGTCCGAGCGGACTCGTGTGGCATCTTCCGCATAGGGCCGTGCGAAGGGGTTCGGATGTGCTACGGTCTCTCTGCGTTCGGGCTCGAAGGTCCCGACCTTCCTGCGAACTGCTCCAAGGTTATGGAGACCCTGCGCGAAGAGGACGGCAGAGAAATTGGTAAACGCCCCTACCTCATCACGAACATCCCTTTTCTAGGCCAGGGGTCCCCGTGCACCAGCTACCAGCCGCAGGTGCCCGCACGCAGGGACAAGTGCGTTCAGTGGTCTTTCACGCCTGTCTTCGACGAGGCCTCACCCGCGGCGGCGGAGGTCTTGGACGGCGCGAAGAATGACAAGGGGATGTTCCCGTACAGGGTGGACTCCACCACGGGGTCCGCTTCGTGGAGTTGGTCTGGAACCCCGACTTCGAAACAGAAGCCTGTCCAGTTCGAGAAGTTCGACCCCCAGCGAGAGATGTTCAAACGTGGAGCACACATGCCCTTGATGATCTACGTGGGCGGGCCTGCTGACGTGCGGCGGACGAGCGAGGCGCAGAGGCGGCGGGCGGCTAACGCGGGCAGGCGTGGTTGGACCTGGGAAAGGAGGCAGTCCACGCAGGGCGCAAAAGGAAAGGGGAAATAGCATGGGCAGCAGAAAGGCGCGGGCGCCTACGGCCGCGGTGGCGGCGAGCGGCGCGACAATCGCGGCAAGGGAGGGAAATGGGGTGCGCGAGATCAGGGTCAGCAAGCTCCCTGGACAGGCTGGTGGTCGTGAAAATCATCCCTTGGTGACCCGCGGTGGCGGGGAGTAGGGGGCGCTAGGGCGAGGTGCGGCGACGGTGATTCGCTTCTTATCAGACGCAGGGATCTCTTTGCGGTGAGAGGAAATGCATCGAGGGTATCTGATGTCACCCAGGACGCGGCGACAACACAGGGCAGGGCATGTGATGTCACCCAGGAGTGGCGGCGAGTGGCGGCGACAACACAGGGCAGGGCATGTGATGTCACCCAAGAGGGCCTGCTTCACTTAATATAATGTTTCCGTTTCTTTGCCAAATCAGATTAGGATTAGGCCGATCAGCAGGAGAAGGAGGAGACGTAGGAATGATGATTGAGGAGGAGGAAGAGTAGCAGGAGGAATAGGGGGAGGAAGGGGAGCAGGGGGAGGATATTGATTACGCACGTTCTCATTCAACGTCTTTTTGATCATGTTAGGGGGGAGGCGGAGGAGGAGGAGGAGGGGGGTGGAAGTGGAGGATGAGCAAATGAGGGGGAGATGGCGAAGGATGCGGGAGAAGACGATGGCGACGATCACGACGATGCCGATGCACGCATACGTGCAGGTACGGTCGTGTCGTGTCGGAGATTTGTGCATGTTTTTGAACCATGTATATGTTCTCCGGGGAACATCCTGGGAACTTCCCGAGCCCTCGTGTAGGGCCTCGTCAGGCCTTCTTGAGAGCATCGGAGGCCATCTTGGGGCCATCTTGGAAGATATCGAGTAACGAACGGTTGTTCTAATGCCCTCCCAAGTGGGTTGTCGATTATCGCACTTGGGGGGGGCCAGGTTGGTGCGCTGTTGGGCCCGTTTTGGGGTAATGATTTAGGCCGTTGAGGCCCTGTTTGGGGTCGCTTGGGGTCCTCGTTGGGCCCCGGAAGGGGGGGGGGGGGCATCTTGGAGGGCGTCGATCAGAGACGGGGGGTCCTCACTTCGGGCTGCCCCTCTTGACTCCCAACCGTCGCTTCTAAAGGGCGCCCTTAGGGGGCGCTCCTTGGCGCTCTTGGACCCGTCGTGAGACAACTGTAGGTTTCTCTGGGGCGTTTGTGGAACCACCTTAGGACGTTACGGCCCGTAGGAAGTGAACAGGCGATGAGGCAACCGATAGTAGTAGTTGTTCTTATGTGTCTGAAGGAGGTTGGCCACTGGGGGGGTCTCCTTGGCAGGCTCCGTGGCCTCTTGGACCCGTCTTGGGGGGGAGGGGAGGGTCTTGGGGTCTTTTGGATAACGGTGGAAGCCATATTGAGCCATCTTCGGATACCTTGACCCATACTAGAGGCCATCTTGGGCTGCACAGTGCTGGAGCCGCCTTGGGCGCTCCAATCGGTCGCCCCCCCCCCCCCGTCCAGACCCGGCGGTGGGGCGGGGGGAAAGGGGTCAAGCTATCCACAAACCTCAAGTTGTCTCGCTCACTCCCACCCGCCCTCCCAGCACACGAGCAGCCTTCGAGTCTCTGCAAGGGCAGGGCATCGGGAACCAATGCAGACGCCCGCCAAGCGCGTGACACTCCCGAGGTGCGCCGCGCGCGCCGGCCCCCCCCCCGTGACTCCAGTCCAATTTTGCAAGTTGATCACGGGCCGCCCGCGCATAGTCCAAGAGTTTGCCGCAACGTACAAGGTGATGGGTGGTGACACATGCGGCAATCTGATACCCCCCCTCGTCCCTGCCAACAGAGACCATGTAAAGTGACCGCGGGGCGCCCGTCATGGTATTGCCGCACAGTGAGTGTGTTGTATCACTGCGTTGGCAGGGGCTGTTGGGGGGCAGCAGAGTGGCGGAGGGGGGTTATATCGATATGGGACAGTGATGCACCCCTCCCCGAAGTGATAGATGGGGGTTGGAAGAGGACGCGCCCTAAACCGCCTCCGCCCAGAGGGCTCGTGGGAATCAGAGCCGCATGGAGCCGTGTTGGAAACCTTTGGGACTGTCTTGGAGCTCTCTTGCGGCTCTCTTGGAGTCCTCTACGCCTTGAGGGCACTCGTGGGCTATGTCCTCGTCCTGTTCGTCATCGTCGTTCCCATCGCCCTGTTTCGTCCCTCACTTTTTTCTCTTCTCTCGTCGGTTCTCTCCTTCGAAAGCCCGTTGACCATTCCGAAGAAGACTTCGACGACGCCGACGATTCCGACGACGATGACCTCCAACCTTTCCGAAGATTCCGAAGGCGATGACGAGGAAGACTCCGACGACGACTCCGATGACAACGACGACGATGATGGCTACGACTGCGACGACTCCGGCGACGACGATTCCGACGACGACAGCTCCGACGGCGACTCCGACGAAGAGTTCGAGAACGACGACGGCGACGACGATTCCGAAGAAGATTCAGACGACGCCGACGACATCTCCAACGACGACATCTCCGACGACGACAACTCCGACGACGACTCCGACGAAGAATTCGAGAACGACGACGACGACGGCGACGACGATTCCGACGACACGACGGCGACGACGATGACTGCGGCGAAGACGCCGATTCCGACGTGTCTGACACCGACGACGAAGAGTCCGACGACGACTCCGACGCCGACGATGCCGAGGCCGACGCCGCTGCGCCGACGACGACTGTCGCGACGTTGATAAATGCGACTCCGGCAAAAATCCACAACTACGTGTGCGACGTTTTCTGCCGCGAAATCTGCCACGAAATCTGCCGCGGAATCTTGCGGGGGCCTCCATGACATGAATGGACGGAGCCTGAACGGCCTGAACGGGGCCTCCATGACATTCCCCCGGGGCTAACAAGTAACCTCACCCCCTGAAGCACCCCAGAGTTTGCCAAGGCTGGTGACGGCACCCCATGATTTTCGAAAACTGCTCGCAGATCCCCGCCAAGGGCAACTGAATTCAAGACGACTTTCGTGGCTGTGGAACCCCCCAGACTTTTGGGAACGCACGCGCACCATAAAGTATCTCGAAGAGCCCCTCGCTCCCTTTGCTCATTTGGCTGGCGCCGTTGCTGGCGCGCCCGCCGTGGTTTGGCCTTCATGTCGTGCGAATCGGCGGCGAGCTTTGGACATGTCCCACGCGGGGCCCAAAGATGGCGGGCGAGCGCCATTGTTTCGTCTGCGCGCCGGGGTGGCCGCGTTCGGGGATCGCTTGCGCTCGCGCGTCGCCCGCTTCGGAGATGGCGTTCCGTTTCGCGCGCGCCGCTGAGCGTTGGTGGCGGCGTTGCCGCCCACGGCGTCCGAAGAATTTGCAAGGTATGGAAGATGGGGCTGTTCGGCGGCCGCAACTGCGCCCGCAGTTGCGTCGTCGCGGGGATCGGATTCGGCCATGGGTTTCAGGCGGCATCGCCGTCGCTGCGCTGGCGCGCGCTCGCGCGCGGTTTCCAGATGAGCGAGAACCACAAGCTGGTATCTGCAAGTCCGCAGGCCTCGGCGTGCCCCTTCGCTGCGCGCTGCGACGGGCGGGCTCTCGCGCCTGCCCAGTGGACCTGCGAGGAGCGCGGTGCGCGGTCGAAGGCCCATGTCGTGCGACCGCGCGAGAACGATGCGGGGTCTTCGCAGTTGGTGGAAGAGCTGTGTGGGTCGATGAGCGGAGGTCTTTTATTGCTCCGAAGCACGTCGGCAGCCATCGCGAGCAAAGCGGGCGTCTGCTGGGAAGGGCACGGGGGGATGGCGCGGGTGGACCGCGCCGCCGGTCTTTCAGACTGCGGCGCCGCGCGTCGGGCAGACGCGCCCGGCACTCGCTGCAATGGGGTTCGGCGGCGGTCGTCCCGCCCCATGTCGCCCCTCCCCGCGCGCCGCTACTCTGGCGCGCGTTTGATCGGCGGGTGCGACGCCGCGCCAGCGCACAGGTTCGTCCCACGCTGGCGCGTGGCTGAACCAGGGCGCCTCGTGCGGCGCTGTTAAAGCGCCCCACCCCCCTCCATGTAGTATTACGGCGAGCGCCGCGGCTGGTGCGACCGCATTCCCTTGGGTCTGCGCGTCGCGCGAATGAGCGGCGAGCGCGGAACTGGGCTCCCGTAGGGTCCGCCGCACCCCGAGCGATGGGGCGACGACCACGGAGTGCATGAAGCATGCTTAGCGCCGTCGCCTCGCCAGCCTGCTGGGGGGGGCGTCGCGCTGGGGCTGCTCGCGCTCGCGTTTCGCCTGTCTTGCGCGCGCTCGCGCGCTCGGCCCAGCGATCGCGGCGGCGCTCTTGCCGCGGCGTCGACTCGTCGCGCGGCCGCGCTGCAGTGCGCGCGAGGCGCGTGCGAGTTTGAAGAACCGTATTCTCAACTCGTAGTACAAGCCGTTGTTCACAATTGCATAGCCGGGCTGACGCGCATGAGGTGTGTCCAGGTTTTGTCTGTTGGTACGGACTGGCGCCGCACATGATGCGCTCGCGCTTGACGGCGGCCCGAGATGCGGCAAGCCCCGCCTCCCTTCCTCCTTGCACCCGTACTCGCCGCCTCCCCTAGGTGGAGGAGGAGGCGAGGACGCTCTCCTTTAACGCGCTCTTCTCCTCCAGGAGGAGGGCAGCAGGACGGAGGAGGGAGAGGCAGGAGGAGGAGGAAGAGGAGGGACAGATAAGGGAGGGAGGAGTGGAGCGGAGGGCTGCAGGATGATATCTTTTGCGGACGTTGGCAGCCTCGGATCTCCTCGCGTTGTACCCTGGTCTGGTCTTCGGGCCCATCGCGCCCCACTCCAGACAGGGAAGAGAGGAGGACGAGGATTTATGGGAGGAGATGGAGGAGGAGGAGGAGGAGGAGGAGGAGGTGGAAGAGCTGCGGACAGGCGTCTGGTCCCAGCCGAGACCAGGGGGTTGGTGCAGTCTGCAGTGGCCTCTGGAGTCGTGTCGGCTACTA